GAACAACCCATTTTAATTATTAATCTTTTTCAGTTTGTTTTTTAAAGCTTTTGTTTAATTTTGATTAAATTTTGAGGGTTTTATTAAGTTTATAAATATTTTTCTTTAATATAGGATTAACCCTTGGTTTAAGCAAGTGATTAATTGATATTGTTAGCTCTTCATTGATTTCTAATTTTGATTATTGATTACTTTTTTCTTAATATTAATTTGTGGACTTTGATTATAATTTGGGATTAAATTTTAATTAATTCGTGATTAACTTTATGTGATTAACTTTTATTTGAGTTTGTGACTAACTTTATATGATTAAATTTTAATTAATTCATACTTAATTTCCAATTTAAATATGTGGCTCACCCTTGATTTGGATTTATGAATAATTGAGATTTGAATTTATAATTAATTAAAATGCGCGATTAAGTCTTGCCTAAGACTTGTGGCTCACCCTTGGTTTTAAGTTTATGCGATCAATTTCTTGATACTTATTTACTGTCGACTTCTACTATGGTACCCATGCTTGACGGTCGTTCTTGATACATGGTGTTACTCAATGTATGTTATGATACCTTTGCTTCATTAAGTTGGTTTTATATTATATTGTGTATCCTATACGTTGAATATTCAATCATAAATTATAATTGCAATGCTTGACACTCCTACCTATTTCCGTTTAATAATATGCTTCATTAAGTTGGTTTATATTATATTGCATATCTTATACGTTGAATATTCAATCATAAATTATAATTGTAATGCTTGACACTCCTACTTATTTCATTTGCATCATCTATCCCCTGCTTGATCCCTGACTCCCTTTCAGGTCGATCAACTTCAGATATACATCCTTGTATCCTTAGGATAGGTTCCCTTAAGTTTTCAACTTTAGACAACTTATGAATTAAGACCTCATTCTCCCATGAGAGTATTAGACATAAGTCATCTATGTAGTCGAGATATAATTCTTCTACCCCACGACATAGTTGAGAAAGATGTAGAATCTTTTCCGCTTGAGAGAGGTATGTGGTATACTCGTTGATTCTATATCCAAGTTGAAGCCTTTCTCCCATTGCGAAGCAAAGACGTCTTCTACATGTTTGTGGTGGTTAAAGTCGAGTATTCTCCTTAAGATGACAACTTGTCTTTTCTCCTAAATCAATCAACAAACTTTATCTATCCTTTGAGGGGAACTACAAATGCTCTGATTCCACTCCTGTCAAGATACGTAGGCACGAGATGCGATGTCTTGGCAAACATACCTAGAGATAACACCTTAGGTCTTCCTTTACCTTTTCATCCCTTAGCAGACAAAATAACAAATAACATAATAAAACAAGAGGTTCATGTAGAGTACTATAAATGCTTAGGATGCTAATACCTTCCCTAGGTATAACCGACTCCCGAGCCTTAGACTCTCTAGCTTTGCATTGCATTGCATACTCATGGGTTATTCGACCTTTTTCCCTTCCCTTGGACAAATTAAAGACCGGTGGTGAATAATGATTTGCGATTCAAGTTAATCAATAGCTTGATATCCGATTCTCACCGCGACAACTTTCACAGGAAGATCTTTGCCATCTTACGAGTAAATTACTCGGAGTAATTAAACAACTGGATTTCCAGAAAAAAAACCCTAGCCATCTACGAGCAACTGCGTTATGAGGATATTTTCAAACCTCAAGGAAGCCTCCATTAAGTCTTGTCTGAGGGACTCAACTAATTTTTGTCATGGAAACTCACCTAAGTTTCATTTGAGGGGCTCAACTAAGTCTCTTCAAGAAAGGACTCAACTGATTCTCTTTTGAGGGAGTTAACCAAGTCTCATCAAGAAGACTCAACTAAGTCTTGTAAGGAATACTAACCTAAGTCCACACGAGGAATTCAACTAAGTCTCATCAGGAAGACTCACCTAAATCTTGCCTAAGGGACTTAATTAACTCTTGCTAGGAAGACCCACTTAAGTATCGTCAGAAAGACTCAGTTAAGTCTCGCCTAAGGGATTCAGTTAACCTCCTTCTAGAAGGATCATCTAAAACTTCAAGAACTGAAGGTAGGAATAAAGTTTCGACGAAGCTCTTAAGGAACGCCCTTAGAAGAGTTGGGGCTAAAATACTTCAGCCTATAGGAGTTCTCGTGCTTGAACGACTTTGTAGTAGTATAATTGGAAGAGACCTTGTGGCGGGGCGAAAGGCATATGTTTAGCCTATCGTCCTTCCCAAGTCGCCCTTTTATTGGTTTGAGCGTCATTCTTTCAAATAGAACACCTCTTCTTTAGATACGTCGCCCGAGACCTTGATGTATTCGATCATGCGTAAAACGTGTATTCAATCAACAAATGTTTTCTTGGAGGTCATGGGACTCAACCACGCTACCGATACTTTAAGAAGTTAACTACACAATTCTAGGGTGGTTATTGTGTCCTAGGAAGACTAAGATCTAGGCCTAGAAAATTATAAATACCTCAATATCGTAACAGACTAATGACATAACATCAAAAATACACACATACAATAACTTCTCACTCATCACATGAGTTAGGTCTCAACACTACAACAACCATAACCATTATTTACTAAAGAGTATTACACATTTATATACTTTTAGAAAGTACAACAACTATATTTTCATTATACACTTATAATATTTTTCGTTAATATATGTTTTCCAAAACCTATTTACTTAATATATTATAATAAGATAATATATGTTCTCCCACAAATCTTTATGGTTCATTTCAAATTTTCAATTAAATAATATGTTACACCTAATTATGTTACATATATTTTTCTGCGTTATGTAACAAATACTCTATAATAATATTAATTTATTACTACAGTATTACGTTCTAATGTCGTATTAACATGAAAATTCAGAAGCTAATATTTGTAGCTTCGGTCCAAATGTGCTTAAAATCGTTTTCAAAAACTAAAAAAAACATACCTAAGTGTATTTTATTTGTCTCAAATATAAGCAAAGGAACATTTATATATTATCATCTTAAATATAAATCAATTTAACCATTTTTAATCGATCAACAACTTTTTTCTTAAAATTCCGCTAAATTAATCAATTAAAAAACTATTACAAAAGTAGTTAATCTATAAAGAAATGGTTATTGTCAAAACAAGAAAGAAAAAGGAAATGGTTAAGATCATAAAAAAAACAAAGTGGTTGGTGGGAAATATTGCATTTAACTTTAAATGCATTTGTTGAAAGAATAATTTGTCTTCGTTTCAAAATTCAAGGAGTCGACGACAAAGCAAACGAAACAACGTACCATCATCAAATTAACGCGCCTTCGTAAACGCAAGTGGTCCAATATGAACCATATATTATTTCCTCTATTTTAAGCCATATTTATTTCCTATAAAAGTCCATTTAAACGTCTTCGAACCACTCATTAGCCATTAAAATCAATAAAAAATAAGTTACTCACTCTTAATTAAACCTAAAAAACAAAACACAAGTAAATCTTAATTTTCTATGCATTTATTTCCTAAACAACTCTTAGATTGCACGAAAAGTTTAACAACAAAAATAATTAAATGAAGTCCATCTTCATCACACTATTCAAAGATAGAAGAGATTAATTAATATCCTCAGACAATTTTTTTTATAATATAAATTTATCACTATCATTCGTTTGTATTATTTTATAAATTATTAAAATAAAAATTAAATTTTTTTATCATCTAACGTTCGGCAATTACAATGTTAATCCATTTCAATTAAATTCTAATTAAAATATTTTGTCAAATTCGTATAGGTTATCTCAAAAATTGATATAATTAAACTCTAATTTATATTTTTTTATCAAATTATTTAGTGATTGAAATTTTATACTTTAAAAATGAATAATTTTAAATTTGATTCAATATTTTTGATGAAATCTTTATGCAAAAGTAAGACTGACAATGAACTGAATCAACTTAAAAATAGTTCGGAACTCGGTTTAATAATTAAATTGATGAACTAGATTCATGAACTAAATAAGCTGAATATGAGAGAAAAAAAACTATTTTCGTTAACTAAATGAGCTAAATTTGGACTATAATAGCTCGACTCATTAAGTTCATGAGTCAATTCAATTATATATGAGAATGATTATATAATATTTAAGAGTAATTTAACTGATTTATTTCAAATTTTAACCATATATTATCTCTTATGTACTAGTTACGGCAATAAAGCTGACAATTGTATTTAGAATCGACCTTGTTAAAGATATTATGACATTTGCTAAAATAATATGTGTAATAAAAATTGCAATGATGAAAATGTATCAATTTCTAGACTTTCAAAGGTGTTTCTTAAAATTTGCATAGTTTTTAAATTAATAGATTTTTGAAACAAAGTTAAATTTCATTTCATACCCATAATTTTTATTTTATTTCAATATTTTCTTTTTAAAATAAATATATATTAAAAATATCAAATATATAAAAATAAAATACACTTAAAAAATAACTTTTAAGTTCGTGAATATAACGAGATGAACCGAATAGTTAATGAACTTTTAACGAGTCGAGTTTAAGTTTAAAAAAAAATTCGTTTCAAACTCGAACTGAAATTTAAGCTGAATCATTCTTAACGAATCGAATTGAGTTAAAACAAGTTCGACCCGACTTATTTCCAACCTTAATTGAGAGATATCGATTGAGTTATATTTTTTAATTTATTGAATTTATTATTACAATATAAATTCAAATTTATTATAAAAATAAAAAAATAATTAATTAAGAAAAAAAGGTAAGATAGCGAGTGAAGAAATCAAACTTGCGCACTAGATTGACGTTATTCATACACAGTTTCAACTCTTGCACCTTATTTCCCTATTCTCACGAAAACTAGCGCTATTCTTCTGTCTCAATTTCTCTTTCTCTTTCTCTGAATTTCGATTTCGATTTCGATCCGAATCGATCAACTCCATCGTTGCAGCTCCTTCACTTCGTTTCATTCAATTCCCCGATCGTTCTCTACAACTGGCGACTCAACATCCGATGGCGACGGAGAAGTTAATGGCCGCTGGTGGCCCGCGCTACGTTCAGATGAAATCGTCTCCGCCAACTTCTCCTCCGACGGCCGATATCGGGTCAAGTCTGTCGTTTCGTCACAGCTCCGTCAGCGACGCGTATCGGATTTTCGATGAATTGCCGAAAGCTTCTATTATCTCCGTCTCTCGTCCTGATCCTAGTGATATCAGCCCTATGCAACTCTCTTATACCATTGAGGTTGAGTATAAACAGGTGCGGTTTCTGTTTCTCTTTTTCTCTTTTCGTGATTTTGTAGAATTCTTCAGAAATGAGGAAGAAGAATCTCTGATCGCAAGCTCTGAAGCAAATTGCGTGAACTGAAAGCTAGGGGATTCATAAGGAATTGAATTCTATATTTTAACCTAATTTCTTCCTTATACACCGTATATGTATGTACTCTAGTATGAAGACATGAACACAAGATACTGTACTCGCACACCAGTAATAATCTTAGAAAATGGAAGTGATCCAGTATAATCACATGTACAAGTGTAGGACAAAGGACACATGTTAGACACTGGACATGCCTTCAATCGAAAGATACTGTGTGTATTTGTATATATGTATGCAATTATGTATGTGAATGTGTCTATAAGGTATATTTACATGCTGCAATTGTTGCTATTTTACTTAGTTTCAGCTTTAAAGGGAAAGAGTGTGTCTTTCTAGTAAATATTCTCTAATTTTAAAAAATACTTCTGCAGTTATTTAGAGTCTTTAGACTTGGAGTATGTGTAGGAATTTTTATTATGGAAGACAGATAACAAAGAAGTGGAGAGGAACAACGTTTTTATGCATGTAGTGTCCTTGTCTATTTCATCCAGTCTTCCTTCGTCCTGGAGTATACTCACATCTCCCATTTTCGTTACAGTTCAAGTGGGAGCTAGTGAAGAAAGCTCATCAAGTATTTATTTTGCATTTTGCGTTAAAGAAGCGTGTCTTTATTGAGGAAATTCATGAGAAGCAAGAGCAGGTAAGCAATGCTGTTTATACTGATTTTCATTTGATTGCTTATGTACTTTAAATGGTTTTTGTATTATTTGATGATATTATGCATATCTAGTAAAGTATGGATTTTAATATAATAATCACTGAAACCTCATATTAAAGGTTAAAGAATGGCTTCACAATCTAGGAATTGGAGAACACACTACTATGGAACAAGATGACGAGGAAGGTGACGATGAAACAGTTCCTTTACAAACTGATGAAAGTGCTAAAAACAGGTGATACCCAATACTCACCTTTTATTGTAGCACTCTTGCAATTGAAATATGTTAATCTGTGGTCATAATTTCATATAACTTGGATTTTGGTACAGAGACGTTCCATCTAGTGCTGCTCTTCCAATTATACGGCCAGCTTTAGGAAGACAGCATTCTATTGCAGACAGGGCAAAAAGTGCAATGCAAGGGTATCTGAATCACTTTTTGGGAAATATTGGTATTGTTAACTCTCCTGAGGTATGCTTTGTGCTTGAGATTTTGGAAATATCTATCTATTATCTTATATAGACATTCTTTTATACAAATGTTGATTTACTATCGTGGTTCATTTTTTTTATTGGCTTGATCAAAAGACCGCAATAATCGTTGGACTAGTGAGTCACTAGTTGAATTGTTGTACATGAAATAATTTCAAAGTTGTTTATAACCTATGCAATTCCCAATTAAAAGATTCCAGCAAAATATAGATCATACTTTAATATACATTCACAATTTTAACTTCATGGCTCTAATCTAGAATATTATGTCATTTATAGCAACTATCCCTTCTTTTTTAATAATGTGTCTTTTTAAGAGAGTATCTGCTCAGCAAAATTTAGGATCATACAATTTTTTCTTGTCTTGTTAGAATCAAATTCCAATATTTATTATTAGGATTACAATTAGCAAATCATATCAATTAGTATTTATTGTATTATTTCTATACGCTATTATAAATAGAGGTTAGTATAGTCTGATTTAGACATTAAATCACAAATCAACGGTCTTAGTGCAGAAGCTGCTGGCAAGTTTCTATACTTTTGTAGGCACCATTGTGATCATACTTTCGTCTCCAGTCCAGCCACATGAACTACACTGTTATTGGAGCAGCCATATGTCACCTAGTTCTCCACCACTGTATCATCCTATCGGTATATCTTCAAATTCTCCATCGTGTCATCCTTCTGGTGTTCAAAATTTCTTCTGCCATCATTCACTCTCAGCTGGTCAACATTTCCACCATGTTGTGCAGGTTCACTGTGCTTCATCCAACTATTCTCTTCTCAATTGGCGTGTTTCTCTCTGCAGCCTGCACCCAATTGTGATTCAACCAGTTTGTGCCTTTTCTCCTGTGGGACTCATTCCCGAAAACCACCATAGCCACTTTCAGAATCCTCTGACAAGCACAATTGTTTTTGCTACAATCGCGCTCAGCCGCTCTACAACTCTGCCTACATTCCTGATGTTTCTATTTACTCCACATTACATCCACCTGTTGTAACAAGCTTAACGATTAGCAAGCTTTAGCTCCAAAGGGAGTCTTAGAATCAAATTCCAATATTTATTAGAATTAGAGTTTATTATTAAGTTTAGAATTAGCAAATCATATCAATATGTTTATTTTACTTATTCTATATGCTATTGTAAATAGAGGTGAGTGCAGACACACAAAACCACACATTGAACATTTCTAATTTCATATATCTGTTATATCACTTTACCTACCAAGATAATGAAAGCTTATTAATAAAAATTAAAAATGGAAAAAGGATAACAAGCCTATTTTTACACAAATTGGTCGGGGTCCTCTTTTCACTAGTCTCATGCATTTTTCTTCTGGTTAGTGATTCAGAGTTCAGACCAGTCATATGATTGATTTATGGCCAGGTCAGTTTATATCCACTATAAGCTGAACTCTTTTCCATTTACACTAGGTTACTATTGAATTTAGTAGGGACAGCCAGCTTCATGAATCTGTTTTGACTTTCACATAACACTTTTGTGATTCTGAATCTGGTAATGAAAATAACCTTTCCACTCATAGGGCTATGGTTGCTTATGATAGGTCCTTCTCAGACCCCACAGTGGTTGGACTTGGAGTCTTGTGTACTGGGCTGCCTAGTGCCTCCATTAGGCTTGAAATTTAATGAATCACTGGCACTTTTTTGGCTACTATATGCAATTAAATGTAATACGTTATATGGTATGGACCTTGGAACCTGACCATATTTCCAGTCGAAGTCCATGACTATTTATGTTCTGTTATTAGCTTTTTGTTCTATGTTTGTTGAATTTGTGTGTAGTTATGGCCTCTAGACAATTTGTTTACAATATGCAATTGTATGCTTTAGGTTTGTAAGTTCTTGGAGGTGTCAATGTTATCTTTTTCACCTGAATATGGCCCTAAGCTGAAGGAGGAATACGTGATGGTGAAGCATCTGCCTAAAATTAAAAAGGATGAAGACTCCCGAAAGTGTTGTTTGTCTGACTGTTTTAATTGTTGTAATGACAATTGGCAAAAGGTAATGGAATTATTTTATGACCTGGAATTTTAGTGGTATCATTTTAATTCTAACTGAGCAGCTTATTTTATTTCGGATTAACTTCAGAGTTATCACTTTCCTGTTTGTGCATAGGTGTGGGCCGTACTGAAACCTGGATTCTTGGCATTGCTGGCACATCCTTTTGATAAACAGCCCTTGGACATTATTGTTTTTGATGTACTGCCTGGCTCAGATGCCAACGGGGATGGCCGTTTATCATTAGCGATTGAAATGAAGGAACGGAATCCTTTACGACATTCGTTCAAGGTGTTTATTGTTTCTTCGTAATCTTAAGCTTGTGCTTAAAAGGATTTAATGCCAATTGTTATTGTTTGTCTCCAATATCAAAATCTTGAGCAAATCTCCAATCTGGTCCATGAAATTTTTTTAGAATATCATTTTGGTTTGATCCTCTGTTTCAACATGCAACAATTATAAGAAGATTAGTGAACATCAAATTGGTCCTCAAGTGATAAACTGGGTTGTGAGCGGTATCAATTTGATCCTAGTAAACAGTAAATTTGGAACTTTTAATGTAAAGAACTTCCATTTTGAGGACAAAACGGATCTGTTGATCTTTTGAAGACAAAATTGTTATTCCAAAAAAGTTGAGGACCGAAATTAGGGTTGTTCTAATATTTTTACTGTCATTAGATGACTTGTGGATGTTATCTGATATATGGTAATGATATACAGAGAAATATACTCAACACTTAATTGAATACTGTAGGTGACTTGTGGAATCCGAAGTATTAGAATTAGAAGTAAAAGTAGTAGTAAAGTTAAAGACTGGGTTGCTGCAATCAACGATGCTGGACTCAGACCTCCTGAAGGCTGGTGTCATCCTCATCGCTATGGTTCTTTTGCTCCTCCAAGAAGCTTAAATGAAGATGACAGTCAAGCTCAGTGGTTTGTAGACGGGCAATCAGCATTTGAGGTCATTGCTTCTTCAATCGAAGATGCCAAATCCGAGGTTTGTTTTTCAGTGCCATAACATTCAAGACCACTTTCATGATAATTTATTTTTATCATTACAGATAATAGTGTCTGTTTTCAAGTTGCTGTTTAATGGTCCAATGATTCATGCAGATATTTATCTGTGGGTGGTGGCTGTGCCCAGAACTGTATCTACGGCGACCTTTCCAAACTCATGCTTCATCAAGGCTTGATAATCTTTTGGAAGCAAAAGCTAAGGAAGGGGTTCAGGTAACTTTTAATTGGAACTCTTTTTTCAATGTCTTGTCTATTTTATCCAAGACACCTACTGAATTACCTTTCTTATTAACTAGTTGAAAATTTAAACTGTGAAGAGATGATTATGGCCATCCCAAAGATTTTAGTATGATGTTATTTTGTTGGCTCTCAGTTATCTTAGTTACCTCTGTTTTCTGCTGTAATAATGGCATATTTTATATTCCTTAGAGATAATAATGGTTACTTTCCCCCTTCTATTATTCCTAAATTTATTTTCTGAAACAAAGCGTCTTCTATTTAATTTTGGATTTTGGCCCAACATAGGATATAACATGAAACCGATGTTGTGGCTGAAGCAGACAGACTAAGTCAATATGGACCTATAGATATGTGATTTTGTGTGTATGGCAAGAGGATTTGAACATTGAATACATCCCTTTGTACTATTCATTGATTGTGGGGGATTTGTATTACTTTCTTGGACATTGTCCTATTATCCTATACTATGATGTAGGTATAACCAAGTTAAACTTTTTGTCTATTTTTCTACTCTCTATTTTCTTTTTGAAGAATTTCTGTTAAAAGTATGAGTCATTGTTATGGGTATACAAGGACACTTCAAAAAAAGGTCGGAGGCTATGTAAGATATGTATGTGATGCTTATCAAACAATGTAGCCGACCCCTCTTTGTGAGACATGGCTTGGTTGTTGTTGATGTCAAACAATGTGATGCTTAAAATCCTGATAGGGGCGCTCTAAATTAAGCTGTGTCACAGTATCCATTAGGTATAACCAAGTTAAGCTTTTTGTCTATTTTTCTTCTCTTTCTTGACTGTTGCACACCTTTTTAAAACAATTTTTCTTGTAAAAAAGGTATTTGAGTCATTGTTATGGGTATGAAACATGGACACTTGACAAAATTCTGTTGCTAAACTCCCCTTTCTTAGCAGAATAGGCGGCTCATTAATATTTTGTTTGTCTATTGAGTTATGTATGAGTAACACTGGTTGAAGGTATACACATAACTAATTAATTTAGTCTTCTATACATGTTTATGGTTTCAGTGGAGAGAAGCCAAAAGTTAAATAAATTGAATTGTTTAATTACTTTACGGTTCACGAGTCCAGTTACCTGAAGATCATTTTTTTATGAAGGTTCTAAGTTCCTTGTGTGCCACCCGGATGGAATATACTGAATTGCTCTATTTTCCATGAAAGTGTCGAGATTTGCATGAATGCTCTTTTTTATTTGCTTACAGATTTACATTCTTCTCTACAAAGAGGTGGCTCTTGCTTTGAAAATCAACAGTGTCTATAGCAAGAGAAAGCTTCTTAGCATTCATGAGAATGTGAGGGTATTACGCTATCCCGACCACTTTTCTACTGGTGTTTACCTGTGGTATGTAATCACCGAAAACTTTATTTGTCTTTGGTTTTATGAATGAGAGCATGTTGTTATAATATGAAAATATCGCATAATATTTGGGATGTTTCTTGGCATTTTTTTTAAGTATCTTGTGTTTTCTCCTAAAATTTATTAATTTATTACCACAATTCTTTATGTTTGATATCAGAGCCTGTATCATCCTCCATGGTCTATCGTGCACTATACTACTAGCTAATGAGTTCTCTAAAGTCTAGAAATAAACTATAATAATTTCATGAGGAGTACTAGCATACTCTCTAACACAATTGGTTGAAATTTAAATGGATTCAACTAAATCATGTAAGCTCCACATCAACTAATACAAGAGTGTGTGTTGCTAGCATAATTCTAATTTTATTATCACCGTGATTCTTTTCTTCTCTTCATCGGGGAACAAATTCGAGCCATCCTTTCTCTCCCAAGTTCTCTCATTGCTGTATCCTTTCAGCAGCTTCTGGCTATCCTGGAGGAAGTTTGACCCTGGCAATCCCAGATGAAGTTTGAGCCCACTTTCATAGATTTAGTTTGATATCTGCTATTCTAGAATATTTATGAATAAGTTGTGATTCATATCAGCCCCCCCCCCCCCAAATTGTGAATCGCAATGCTTTTTCCAATGGTCTATTTGCAACAAGCCCCAAGCTTATTAAGCTTTAGCTTGAGGAGGAATTTTGTATGTTAGAACATGGAACAAATGTCTCAGAATTTCTGAATTGTAGTATTTTAGAAAATCTTAGATTGTCTCTTAGGATTGACTTTATTATGTATATCTCTTTATATTTCATGATTTGTTTCTTTATATATTTTAAGATTAAGTACTTTTAATCCGGTAAAATCACGACCATCCAACTTTAATCTCTTAAAATTTTGTATCATTTTTAGTCTTTATATTTAACAAAAACTAGTTTTAGTTCCTTTGCTGGGACTGGTATTTTATAGGCATTAAGCATTTTTACATGAACTATAATCGAATGGTCGTGATTTTGTTAGAATTAACCTCATATTTAATCCTTTACTTTATTTAGGATTTGTATGAATTTGGGTTAGTGCTTAGTCTCTTGTATCATCAAAGACCATAATCACCATTCACAGCCATTCTCCCTTCTCTTCCTTCCTTCTCTCCTTTCTCCCTTGTTTAAAATCTTATATGTGTGTGTGTGTGTGTTATAGTCTCTGTGGGTATGTTGGTGTGTGTTTGTGTGTGTTATAGTCTCTGTGGGTATGTTGGTGTGTGTGTGTGTGTGTGTTAGTTTCTGTGGGTATGTGTGTGTGTGTGTTAGTTTCTGTGGGTATGTGTGTGTGTTAGTTTCTGTGGGTATGTGTGTGTGTGTGTTAGTTTCTGTGGGTATGTGTGTGTGTTAGTTTCTGTGGTTATGTGTGTGATAGTTAGGTGTGTTATTTGTCAGCATATATCAATTATGCTACACTTTTTCGTTTCTTATTTGTGCTTATGAATATACCCAGGTCACACCATGAAAAACTTGTCATTGTTGATAATCATATTTGCTTCATCGGAGGACTAGATTTATGCTTTGGTCGATACGACTCGCCTGAGCATAAGGTGGGGGATGTCCCTCCACTAATTTGGCCTGGAAAGGACTATTACAACCCAAGGTAAATTTTTTGAATAGAAAATAAAATCACCTAAATGCTTTATGCAAGAGTCCATTTGACCATGCCTGAATTGCTAAAAGCTTCATTTAAATTTGAGAATAAAACCACTTCTTTTACTATTTCAAACTGTTTGGAGAAATAATATAAATTTTGTGCGTGACACTAGACGGCTAGAAGAAAACTATCTGCTGTTAACGGAAATAAATTGTTGCTTCTATTAAGGATGTGTCACTCATCATTACTTTGTCATAAGATCAACTCATCCTGAACATAATTCATATATTCATTTCATTTTCAATTTTTATAGAGAATCTGAGCCAAATTCATGGGAAGACACCATGAAAGATGAATTGGAACGTGAAAAATATCCTCGTATGCCTTGGCACGATGTTCATTGTGCCCTTTGGGGACCACCTTGTCGTGATATTGCCAGGCACTTTGTTCAGCGATGGAATTACGCTAAGGTTAGACTTATTGCGCAATTGCATTGAAGTTTTGAGGCATTCTGATCCTTTTCCTATGTTCCCAATAGGAATTAATTTATTTAATTTTTACATCAGAGGAACAAAGCTCCATATGAGCAAACAATACCACTACTCATGCCTCAACATCATATGGTTATTCCTCATTACTTGGGAAGCAGTGAGGCACCAATTGAAATTAAGAACACTGTCAATGATAGAGCCCTCAAGAGAGAAGATTCATTTTCCTCATCTTCCCAAGACCAAGATATTCCTCTACTCCTGCCTCAAGAGCCAGGTGGGTTAGATGATCCTGAAGAAGACCCAAAACCAAATGGGCTAATCTCCTTTCTGCATCACCTTGACACGCCTAGAAGGATCAGCAGTGGCCTTCCTTTCTCATTCAGAAGGGCCAAAGTTGCAGCAGTTGGTCCTGATACGCCAATGAAGGGTTTTGTAGATGATCTAGACTCTTCGCAGTGTCACGAGAAAACTGCTCATGATAGAGTGGCTCACGTTGATTCACAAAATACAGATCTTGAATGGTGGGAAACACAAGAGCGGGGTGATCAGGGAGGGTTTGCAGATGAATCCGGACAAATTGGACCTCGTGCTTCCTGCCGTTGCCAGGTACACTGTTTTCATAGTGCTGAAGTCTCAGTGACCTACTTAATTATAACTGTTCCAATGACTTATACATTTGTTTTATCTGTGATATACCTTTTATATGATCGTCTCATCAAGAGGTTCTTTAAAGTGTAACAACTGCTGTTTTTGTAATTAAATAAATTTATGGATTGAAATCAGGTGTTTCATTGAAGTTCCTCCCTTTGATAATATTTTTTTGTGACATACATAATAGGATCCACAGGAAGTGATATTTCATATATTGCTGGAAAGTTGACTTTAAGATGGGGGGATTATTATCATCTATTTGCTTTTGTTATTTTATTGTTATTTGTGTCCTGTTATTTTTCTTTTACACTGTTTGTTGTATTTTCTACCATTGAAATAGACTTTAATTGATAGGTTATTAGGAGCGTAAGTCAGTGGTCGGCTGGAACAAGCCAAACTGAAGAGAGCATCCACAATGCTTATTGCTCTCTCATTGAGAAATCTGAATACTTCATCTACATTGAGGTATTGACTAAACTTCTGCCTTCAATTTGATACAGTTTTTGAAGACTGATGGGTGTTTCAAATGATCATACCAAAAGTGGTTTTGCTTTGTTATTATCATAATAACTATATATAAATATAACAATAAAAACATAGCTGGAAGATGGCAATTTTGATTGAAAATAAGTACAAGAGAGCAGGGGTTATTATTACTTGAATGACCGTACAAGTATTTCGTTATGAACTAAAATACCATTGTTCTAAGCAATTTGAAAATCTAGTGAGCTTCTGCATAATATCCTCGTTCTTAGGCTTTGTCTCCAATACTTTTAGATGCTCTTGTTCAAGATGATAATTACTCCCTCCATAGGTGTTCTCTTTCCTATTTTTATTTATCTAAAATTATTTGTCCCTTTAGAATACCAATGTGATATTTATTATTTTATTCCACTAACTTACCATTATTTATTGTATTTTAATTCATATAACTACTCCACTACCTATTATTAATAAGGTTATTTTAGTAAATGACACTCGTTTTATCATTGAAATCAACACAATTAATTATTATCTTAAAAAGTGTAAAAATCTCAAAAAGGACACCTATTGTGAGACGGAGAGTACATTTTATGCTTAAATTACATGCTTCTGCAGCTCATTTTAGACACTATTCATAGAAAGAACTTAATCCCTATTTAGTATTAGTACTGGTTTTACTGGTTTTGATTCAATATAATCTTCCTTAAAGTTATGCTGATTATAGAAAAGGTTTGATATCTCTTAATCTTAACTCTGCTTTGTTTACCATCTTACTATGCTATAGTAGTCTTTATGAGTTTTGAGATAATTGGTTTTTTCAATCGTAAGTTTATAATTTTTCAACTTCATTTCCGAAGGAAAATACCTTTTCTCTTAAATAAAGACTGGAATTAAGTTAATCCAATATTATTGAATTTAGATAATTATAATTGCTTATATTTACAGGAAATTCTATATTGTTGAACAAACCAAATTTAAGTTTGAATCGGTTTATTATTTTTGTTATATATGGATTTATGTATTGAATTCTGTATTTCACTGCTTTAAACTTGTTTTGAAAGTTGATAAACACCACATCAGTTTCAGATTTTAAAAGAAAAAAGTCTCATACCTGAAGTTATTTGGACTTATTCTTTACAGTGCCTTAGTTTTAAGAAAGTTGATTTAGATGATCTAATAATGATTCCAATCTTCCTACAACTTGTAAAATATATTATACGCTGCATTTCATGGACATGGTAATATATATTCTGCTCCTACCTCTTTAAAGTTTTATGCTTCTAAATTTTCAAGCTGATGTGTAAAATTTCAAGCTTTTATGATAAAAAAATTTTCAAACTCATAAGGATGTAATTTGTTATCTATTCCTAAATCTGTTCTGGACGATCTCTGACCGATCTATTTTATCTTTGGGAACTTGTTCCAGAATCAGTTTTTTATTTCAGGTCTTTCTGGAGATGATATGATACGTAATCGTGTGTCAGAAGCTTTATATCGACGGATTATGCGAGCTTATAATGACAAAAAATCTTTCAGGGTTATAGTCGTCATACCGCTCCTTCCTGGATTCCAGGTTCTAGTTAATTTTTTATTTATTTTTTCAACAAGAAAAAATATTGCTTTTGCATGTATCTTGGACTTACTTCTCTGTTATCTAGGGGGGGCTTGATGATGGTGGTGCAGCATCTGTGAGAGCTATAATGCATTGGCAGTATCGAACAATTTGCAGAGGGCAAAATTCTATCATACATAACCTTTATCAGCTTCTTGGTTCAAGACTACATGACTACATCTCTTTTTACGGCCTGAGGAATTATGGTAAACTCTCTGATGGTGGTCCTGTGGCAACCAGCCAGGTAATTTTTTATATCTATGATCTTTTGCCTAAGTATCTCTGGTCAGCTTAATGACGGACACTATTTTGCAGGTGTACGTCCACAGTAAAATCATGATTGTTGATGATTGTATAAGTTTGATTGGATCTGCTAATATTAATGATAGGAGTTTACTCGGCTCCCGGGACTCTGAGGTACAGTTCCAAGTCTTTTTCCTTAAACATGCTGTAAAAGTTTGGTTGGTTTTTTTCGATTTTATTTCTGATCTGTTGATTAAAGTCCTACATTAGACAATGTAACTAGTGAAAGAATAATTTCAACTAACATCATTATCGCCAACTTCTCTTTTCCCACTAAGTGCTGTTAATTATTATTTTTGCATTTCAAAATATTTAATTTGACCTTTTAAATTATATATGAATTCATAACTGTGTATCACCTTCTGTCCTTTTAACTGTCCCACACATGGATTTCAGATTGGTGTAGTTATAGAAGACAAAGAGTTGATTGATTCATATATGGATGGAAAGCCTTGGAAGGCAGGGAAGTTTTCTTTGTCTCTCCGATTATCATTATGGTCTGAACACTTGGGTCTTCCGGCAGGAGAGGTTAGTAATTTACCTTTTTCGGAGTGTAGTTGTTTCGTGTGCCTGATTAGTAATGATTACTTTATTATATTTTCCTCAGGTCAGTCAAATAATGGACCCCGTTGTTGAGTCTACATATAAGGATATTTGGATGGCAACAGCAAAGGTAATTATTATTTTATTGGATGATTTGAATTGTTCGAGAGAATTTACTCTCAACCTTGCTATTTATAACCAAGTGATAACAATCAAATTTATGATTAAATCCCTTAGTTATAGGGATAAAACCAACAAACTCTCAACCTTGCTATTTATAACCAAGTGATAACAATCAAATTTATGATTAAATCCCTTAGTTATAGGGATAAAACCAACAAACCTAACCGTATAGCAGAGTTATTAATCTCGGCCGCGATCGCCGCTATCCCGGGCGGTCCGGTTGGGGCGGCCACCAGCCACGCGCGAAGAGAGGAGCGTTTCCCAGATTCAAATCGCGGCCGATCTCTCCGAGATCACAGGTTGTGGGTCATGGACCACTACCCGCGTGGAGCGGTTTGGCTGATTTCTTTTGCCCTAACGGCCCCGCAGGTTGTGGGTTGCGGACCGCTACCCGTGTTGAGCGGTTTGGCTGATTTCTTTTGCCCTAACGGCCACCTTCGGCACTCCTCATCCAGCCACCTTCGGTGGTACTCGTCCCAATTGGATATTGACTCGTTTTTTTACTTTTTTTCTATGTGCATTTTGAATTTTGAACGGAGCCGGTGGAGAAGAAAAAAGAAGAGAGAGAAACGAATGAAGATGAAGAAGAGAGAGAGAAAGAGATGAAACCGGGGGGAGGGGGCATATTATTATATTTAATCAATAAATGTATAATAATATACAATAAATAATTGAGATAAAAGAGGGTTGAAAAGTCAAAAGTGACTTTTCAAAAGTCAATGAAACATGATACACATTTGTATACCATGTAGACTAAATTAACCGTAGTTAAGAAATATAATAATAATATGATATTTTGAAAAAATTAAATAGTAACAATAATGGAAATAATAATTTTTTTACATGTATAATTTTCATATTTTTATATATAAATATTACTTATTCATATATATATATATATATATATATATATATATATATATATATATATATATATATAATTATTCATATAATTATTCCACTATCCGCTATCCGTGATTAATAACTCTTCCGTATAGAGAGATACTGCAATTATCCCAATTATCCCGATCTCCGTTATTCAAATAAAATATAATTAAAATCATATATCATGATTCTTTAATGAATCTAAAAAATAAATTTTATCTTACATTAAAAATCAGAGGGAATAATATTCTAACATTGATGATACATGTTATACAGACAAATACTGCAATTTATCAGGATGTCTTTTCCTGTGTACCTAATGATCTGATACACACCAGGTACGTTGGTGTAATTAATGTACATTTTTAATCTCTAGGTGTCTTTTTTGTTGTCTTGTCCTAACATACATCATAAACAAAAAACCTTTTGTTTCTGCAGACTTGCTTTCAGACAAAACGTGGCTTTATGGAAAGAAAAAATTGGACACACTACCATTGATTTAGGAATAGCCCCAGAAAAATTAGAATCCTATCATGATGGAGATATCAAGAACACTCATCCCATGGAGAGATTAGCATTAGTAAAGGGTCATCTTGTTTCTTTTCCCTTGGAGTTCATGTCTCAAGAAAGTCTAAGACCTGCTTTTAATGAAGGAGAATACTATGCCGCTCAAGTTTTCCATTGAGTATATTGTCCAGTACACAACATCTTATTTTTTATACGGGAGATTTGTAATTAATTATTTGCAGAGTTTCTTTTTATCACAATTCTGCAAATGAGTTGGGAAATTGGGGAGGGGGATCATGATGTGCTGAGAAGGACAAAGTTGGGAGGGAGAGAGAATGGAGATGATGCTGGAGAGGGACAGAAACATTAAGTGAGAAACCATGAGGGTAGAGGTCGGAGAGAAGTGTGTGCTTGAGAGATTAAAATCCATATTCCTGTAGAGAATGTATCTGTAACCGGTTCAATGTAAAAATCATCAGTTCACATTTTATAGAGGAAATAAATCAAATCAATAATATATGCGGATTACTTTCTATTATATCTATGTCGTTTGTTCTTCTCTTGTTTTTCATGCTCCTTTTTATGGGAGTGTTCAAAGGTATTTATGAAGCACATGTATTCCTAAAATAAATACCTTTTTAAAATTGGGTACTCAATTTGGTTAGTAAATTTATGAGATAAAGGAAGACATCTCTAAAATTGTGAATGAATCAAGTTTATTGGCTTTTGGCCTGGACATGGTTACTCAGTATATTAGGGGTGAATTCTTGTGCGATATTATCTTCCTGCACCTATAGCGCATCAAGCGTTCGTCTTGTTTTTGAGGTAGGTTTTAGTATTTGGTTATTTTGTGCTCTTTTGTTTTGTTGGTATCTGATATGTTAATGGTGAATTTAATGGTTTGAGATCTAACCTTATGCTAGGGAGATGAATTTATAGTACCTTGGGTCTTTATCAGGACAGTAGTGTGTAGTGGTTTTTGTTCTTTCTTCGTTTTTGTTCTTTCTTCGCTTGTTTCTCTTTTTGGTTGAATGATTGACCCTTCTTGAACCATTATCCTCTTTTATAAGTAGGTGGTGTGGTTTTCACTTCCTATTTATTATATGTTATATATATATTTTCCATTAAAAACAAATAATCAAGTTATTTGCAATAACTTAAGGTGAATGAAGTCCATGCATCAGATGAGTTAATATTAGAGAATTTTTTTTATCTCCATCTTATGGGGTGAAAAAATTCTTATTGCACCATAAATGTTTTTAATGCACCACGTAAATTTTCATAAGTATCCACTATTTTCGGAGATATATCTCCGAACGCATCCCAAGACACTCAACAAAGGTCATTCTAAGTTGCGTCCTTTTTTTTGTTTAACTTATTCCAGAGATGTATCTCTAGAATAATTTCGTAGTTACATCTCATGAGCCACATTAGTATTGTTTCAAGAGAAAAGTAATTTTTCAAAATGAAATTGACTTTCACAACATAAAATAAGATTACAATGATGATTTCAACATAAAAATGCAATATTACATTTCAATATTCTAGTGGACGCTTGCACATTTTCAGAATCTTCAACCGATCTTGAAACTGTCACTTCCAACTCAAGCAAATTTTTTTCTTCAAAACGAAAATACGTATTCCGCATAGCCCTTACATCTTCTTACGTTTTGAGCTCAAATTTACTGAACTCAATCTGCCTTATTTTGTCAATCGATGGTGAATGATACTCAAGCTTCACACTCTTTCGATTGTCTCTGTAAGACATGAGATGGTGGATTTCGTCTTTGATATCTTTGAGGGAGGTGAAGTCGGTGAGCTTGAACGTTCGGTCGGGTATAGAGCCGGAGAATAACATAATTGTGACATACCAATAGATGTCTATCTGTGACATTTGAGACATTTTCAGTTTGTGTGAAATATAAAATTATAACACCTTAATTTATAGATGTCATAGATCAATTTAGACCACCCATTAACTGCCATATTGATTCTAGAGATATATCTTATAAAACGCACCCTATTGTCTTGTTTTATAGATGCATCTCCAGAATAACTATTGAACTGGTAAATAATTAAAGTATTTTTTAAAAGTATTTTAGAGATCCATCTTCGGAATAAAAGTAACCTAATATATAAGGGCGCCTCTCAGAATGACCTTACTTGAGTGTGCAAGAGGTGCGTCTGGAGATACATCTCTAAAAACTAGAGACATTTGTAGAAATTCACGTGGTGTAATAGAAGGATCTAAGGTGCATTAAAAAATCCTCTTTATTATAGCAATATTTTTCAGAAACTCACAAAACTCTTTGTATGGACTAACCCAAACTCCACGCCTTCTCTCATTTTTAGCCTTGTCCTCGTCATTTGACTAATCCGAGCAATTGGCCCCCTTTTGAAATATCATTAAGTTTTGCTTAAAAAAGGGAAAAGACTCTTTGTCCAATTCCTTGGTTCCCAAGGCCCGAACATCACCGTCTCCAACTCTAAAACTCTTTCTTTAAATGGAGCTTGACAGAAACCATCTTCCAAGGAAGCATTTAAGAAGCCATCAAGGTCACCATATATTGAATTATAGTTATTCTCTAATCCACTTCGATGCACGGGAAGTTCATACATGGAAAAACCTACCATCAGAGCTCCAAGAACTGTATTTACTCTAGCTCGATCAAAATATAACACTGATTGGAGGTCGTTTTCATATTCACCTGCACCACCGAACCAAAACGGTTAACAAGGTGACAAAATTAATGCTTCATCCTAAATATGCAAGTGTTTTTGTGAGTTTCAGAAATGTATTTCCGGAGACATTCCAGAAATACATTTTCGGAATAACTTAAGCCATAAAATTGGGGTGTGACTAAAAAATAAATGAGTTGTGTATGCACGAGATGCGTCCGGAGATGCATCTCCGAAATTTTAAGGTATTTTTAATTTCTTACCCACCTTAGTAAATTATATGGTGCATTAAGAATTCTCCTAGTAATATCTCTATTTCTATCCGTAATAGAGATGTTACGCAAATAACACTTTATTAGCAATAACTTTGAGGTGAAAGAAAGCACGGTGAAGTTAAGTTTTCTTCATCATAGAGAATTAATAAAATAATCATTGCTTTTATAATAAACAAATTTAATTATTATGCTTTATTGTGGATGACCTATTGTTCAAGTACAACAAGCTTTATTCCATTAAGTGAAGTCGGTTATATGGATCAACTTCTGCCTTCTACTCTAACGTTCTATTTAGGGGTATGCTTTTATCCAAATTATTAATCTCAAGATATTTCTTAATAATTTCTTTTATAGTTTTCTTAGGTCTTCTTTTATCTATAGTTATTTGATTCCTTTGTCTTATCTAGTTTTCTTACCACATAATCTACATGTCTTTTTACTACATGTTCAAACCATCGAAGTTTATTCTCCACCATCTTTAGGTGTCACCCCTACATTCCTTCTAATATTGTCATTTTTAATCTCTTGTATAGTATTACCACACATTTAGTGCAACATCCTCATCTCTCCTACACTTGCTTTATTCTCATGTTGATTTTTAAACGTCTAACATTTTGTTTCATAAAATATTACATATCTTATTGCAGTTCGATAAAACTTTTCATTCAACTTAAACTATACATTTTTGTCACATAAAATCCCTGGTGCGGTACCTACTATTCAAGTAATATATATAAAATACTCCCCTTGATCTGATTTATAACAAAAATTTATTTTTTAGATTGATTGAATATACAATGTAGCTGATTCATATTGTCCAAGTTCATTAATTATTCAACGTAATAAAAGTGTAAACTTTTTTTTTATAAACAAGATTAGAATTCACACACACACACACACACACACACACACACACACACACACACACACACACACACACACACACACACACACACACACACACACACACACACACACACACACACACACACACACACACACACACACACACACACACACACACACACACACACACACACACACACACACACACACACACACACACACACACACACACACACACACACACACACACACACACACACACACACACACACACACACACACACACACACACACACACACACACACACACACACACACACACACACACACACACACACACACACACACACACACACACACACACACACACACACACACACACACACACACACACACACACACACACACACACACACACACACACACACACACACACACACACACACACACACACACACACACACACACACACACACACACACACACACACACACACACACACACACACACACACACACACACACACACACACACACACACACACACACACACACACACACACACACACACACACACACACACACACACACACACACACACACACACACACACACACACACACACACACACACACACACACACACACACACACACACACACACACACACACACACACACACACACACACACACACACACACACACACACACACACACACACACACACACACACACACACACACACACACACACACACACACACACACACACACACACACACACACACACACACACACACACACACACACACACACACACACACACACACACACACACACACACACACACACACACACACACACACACACACACACACTTACTTTTAGGTTTTTTTGGGATAAAAAGTATAAATTTGAAGGGAATTAGAAATCAAAATAAGATTAAAAAACATTGAATAAAAGAAAAGCATGAAATTAGAAGTGAAAACTGAAACCAGATTCAAGATTAGGCATATTTGTCCAAATGTAAATCACAAATACAAATTGTAAATAGTGGTAATGAATTCGCCTATTTGATTTACATTTACAATTCTTTTTACTGCCGATTTTTCATTAACGGGTTGTTCTTTTCACTTTTAGTGGTGAAAAACCATCCTCTAAAAACGCAAAATTAACCTTTACTAATTTGGAAGTATATTTCTATACGCATCACATATACACCACATTTTTTCGTAAGTGAATCACATTTTTATTTTATTATAAATTAGTTTGGAGATGTATCCCTGTAAAAGTTACGAATGTATACTTTCATAATGATCCTTTAGGTAGTAAAATTCGACATTTAAAAAAAATACTAATATAATAAGTATAGTGATGTAA